GTCTCCTCCCCCATCCCCAAAATATACTCTCTTCCTCTTCTCTCCCTCCTATTCCCTGGTAGTCAGATACACATTTAAGTTGAATCACCCCCTGAAAAATGTCAGAACACAATGTCAGTCTCCCATATCCCTGCAGACAAATTAAGTCCATATAATTGTAGGGAAAGCAATTTTAAAACTTTCTCCATGAATGGTCATGCATCTCTATAAGGAAGATTCCAGGATATGAGGATGGGATTAAATTTTTGCCTCTCTTCTCTACAAACTAGGAAAGAGGGAGAGAATACCTTAGTATGTAATAGGAGGCAGTAGTCCCAACATTTCAGTCTGCGAGAGTGCAGTGCATGAATGCCCTTAACTTGATTATAAAAATGGTGCTGGATGAGAGTGATTGTTTTTGTCCTTTTAGGGCTAATGTGACTAAACCAAGGTGTGAGCTAGGAATGCTTCAAAGTAGAATTGATAAAAATCCCATAAGTCTTTCTAGCAATCAAAAAGTTATTTTATCACATACATAGGTATGCAGGGTGCTTATCTCCATATACTTATTGATCCTGTTAATCAAAGATGCCTTCATCTTTTCCCCTGTTAGTTACATGCCTGTAATATCAAGAATTTCCATTAAGCCCAGTATCCACATCTTGAGTATTTACCAAACTACTGTCCTTAGGCTGGCTGCCATTATGATACAGAGTCTAGCTGTCAGAACTGGACTATTGACTTGAGAACCATCTCACACTCAGGAGCTGTAGTAATCAGAGGAATTTATTGTTTCATAATCTGGGACTAATAATCAAGAGTTTAACACTGTGTCTGCTGATCATAGAATATTAGTGTTGGAAGAGACCTCAGGAGGTCATCTCGTCCAATCCCCTGCTCAAAGCAGGACCAACACCAACTAAATCATCCCAGCCAAGGCTATATACAAGGCTGATATACATTTAAGGCTATTTTTAAATAGAAAACTAAGCAAAGCCGTTACAGAGCAAAAGTACAAGCAGTAAGAGTAAATCTGATGTCAATAAATGAATGTTTCTATCAGCCGAATCTCTTGTTGTAATGCATAGATCTGCTGTGGGTATGAGCTCATACCAAATGAGCTCTATTTTTAAGGAGAAACATATGAATTTATGATATGGCAATATCAATGTTTAAAGCGAGTATTCCAAAACTCTGACCACAGATTTAAGTGGTGGATGTTTTCTAGGGACAGGACATAGCGTAAGTATAGCAGTCTTCAGAAAGACCTTGTTCTACTTACTACTGTCTTAGAAATAATAGTGGTCAGAAAAGTCTAGTGCATGCAATGAATTCTAACAGTACCAGAAATACTAGTTCAGATAGACTGTTCTGTAGTCCCCTATACAAATTAAGCTTTGTTTCCCCCAGGGTTTTAGGAAAGTTTTGGGAGTAAACAGCTTCAAAAGTACAAAATTATGTAGTAGGGTGGAGAGGATTCCATCACTGCTTCTTTTTCTGATGAATGTAGCTATCCTTTTTCCCTCTCCAGGCCTCCTTTATCCCAAATGTACTTTTAGGTTAGATTGCAGTTCTGAACAAACTATTGGATGGTAGGTTGCGTTCAACAATGAAAGTGATCTGATAAAGTGTGAACACCTACCACTGCGACTGATATTTCTGCTTTGTCTTAGCGTGTGTTTTTTCTTCTCTGCAACCTTTTTCTTTTCCACTTTGCATTCTGTTTCTCCCTCTCCCTGCTGCTATCTTGCTTTGGGATGTCTGTAGGATCAGCAACTAAAAGTGCATCTCTGTCAGTTTCTCATTGCAGTTCATGCTGTCTTGAAAGTGATATAGCTAGCTGGTGGTCTGTCACCCGTTGTGCATCTGTATAGGCTGCAGGCAGACAGCTGGTTGGGAAGAGTGATTTGGTGTCAATTATGTGGGTGTAAACTTGCCAGACACTAGCTGTGTGTTTGTGAGGATGGGTGGAGATTGGTGAATGCTTTCTAGGGTTTACTTGAGCTAGAGGGTGTGAATTTAGTGGGGCTTATAGGAACAAAATAGGTTTCACATGCTGTTTTATACTTCGGAAGTGGCAGATTTTAAGAACAGAAGAACAACCATACTGGATCAGATCAATGGTCCATCTAGCTCAGTAACCTGTCTTCTGACAGTGGCCAATGCCAGGTGCTTCAGAGGGAATGAACAGAGCAAGCAATCGTTGAGTGATCCATCTCCTGTCGTCCACTCCCAGCTCCTGCAGTCAGAATCTAGGGACACCCAGAGCATGGGGTTGCAGCCCTGCCAACTTGGCTAATACCCATTGATGGATCTATCCTCCATGAACTTATTCTTTTTTGAACCCCGTTATAGTTTTGGCCTTCACAACATCCCCTGCAACGAGTTCTACAAGGTGACTGTTGTGTGAAGATGTTTCCTTTTGTTTGTTATAAACCTGCTGCCTATTAATTTCATTGGGTGACTCCTGGTTCTTGTGTTATGTGAAGGAGTAAATAATACTTCCTTATTTACTTTCTCCACACCATTCATGATCTGATAGAGGTCTATAAAATCTCCCCTTAGCCATCACTCTTCCAAGCTGAAAAATCTGTTTTATTAATCTCTCCTCCTATGGAAGCTGTTCCATACCCTTAATCATTTATGATTCCCTTCTCTGTACTTTCTCCAATTATAATATACTGTATCTTTTTTGAGGTGGGACCACGAGAACTAAATTTCAGTGGATTAAGGATTCCTTTATTAGGAATCCTGCACCACTCAGATGTCAGGCATTCCAAGATCTGGAAGAAAAACTCCATTACTTCAGCAGTTTGGGAAGTATCAGGAGATGGAAATGATGGTATGCAGTCATTAAAATGTTGATGTTACCAGATTACTGGTCCCTGAATATTTCAGCTTCTGGAGAAGAGTTGGGAGACTAGCTCAGGTGTTGATACTCTGATAAAATAATGTGTTTTAGTGTCTTGTTTCAGTAGGCATCCTTGATGCTTCAGGATCTGCCCTGCACTTTGGTGCTGGGTAACTCTTTTGTCTTGGCACACACCCATTGTCTTCAGGGGGCAGAAAGAATGCTGCTGATGGCTTCAAATTATGACAGTGAACTATATCTGTGAAGGGCAACCATGTTGGTTATGGTATCTCCCTTTAGTAGACCATGTTGTGCAGGAACGTTAGATTTGCTTGCAGATGTCATCTTAACCACTAAAGAAATGTTTGCAGCCTTCATAAGAGGTTCCGAATTGCTTTTATGCTGTCTGGATTAAACTATTATGTCTGGCTGCTGTGAAGTTTGAAGACGTATCAGGCCTTTTTATGTTTGACCTGGCAAGAGGGCACATTAAGTTTAATTTTGTTTCCATTGAAGCTGCTCGTAAATCCAATCTAGGTCAGCATAAAAGGAGGCATAACATTATTTAGCTTAGTCGTGACAAGAATTCAATGAGGAATTAATGAATGGCCTATCTTACCTAGGCAATTTGGTGACATGATGCCAGATGATATTCAGTGTAGTTAAGTGCGGGGTGGTGCATGTTGAAAGTAATAATTTGAACTAATCTCAGTAATGAACTCTAGCTACTCAGGAACAAAGATCTTTGTCATTGTGGATAGTTCAGTGAAGACATCTGCTCCATGCTCAGGAGGAGTCAGAAAACCAGGCAATGTTAGGTTGTATTAAGAAGTGAGTATAGTATATATTGAAAATATTCGGATCCAATTCTATAAATTACTGGTGTGTATTGTTCGATTCTGGTCACCTCGTTTTAAAAAGTATATAATTAGAACTGGTTGAAAATGCAAAACAGTCACATTTTGATGACATTTCAAATTTTAACTTTGGAAAATTTGGCCATCTCTAGATACATCAGAAATAAAAAGGGTCTGGGGAGAAGAGGGGAGAATGACAATGATTAGAGCAGTGGTTCTCAAACTTTTGTATTGGTGACCCCTTTCACACAGCAAGCCTGTAAGTGTGACCCCCACCCCCAATAAATTAAAAACACTTTATATATATAAAAATAAATAAAAACACTATTATGAATGCTGGGGTGGAGCCTGACAGCTTGCGACCCCCCCCCACACATAATAACCTTGTGACCCTTTAAGGGGTCACGATGCCCAGTTTGAGAACCCCTGGATTAAAGGCATTGCAAGGTTTCTCAGAGTTTTTAAAAAGTATATAGTTCATTGAGGAGATGAATGTGAGTACATCAGATATAAAAGAATAAATGACGTATAAAAGGGCAGTCATTTTTATCCATTATAATAGAATAAGGGGACACTCAAAAAGCTTTGAAAGATTTTAAACTGATGACTAAACCCCTTTTATGCAACATCTAATTAACCTATGGAACTTGTAGATTCAATATACTTTTGAAGCCAAGGATTAGCTATTTATATGAATAGTAACATCCACAGTAATATTAAATAGTATAAATACTTTTAAGGGATAACTTTTCTTTCACCTTTCCCTGAAACATCTGGTACTAGCCACTGAAAGACTTGATATCAGGCTAGATGGATCACAAGACTTGATGTACTAGGTCAGTAAAATGTTACTGTGGGTCACTCAACCTTCTGTGTTCCATTTGCACTGTGAAAATACTACCCATTGTAAAGTGTTTGGGGGTTGTCTTATGAAAGGCATTGTTGAGTACAGTCTAGAGGCTTGTTGTTGCTAGTAGGTTTCATAGCAATATTTTGGCAATCAAGTTCTCATGCATAGATGTGTGTGTTGTTTGTTTGTTTGTTTTGTTTTTTCCCTGATCTTTCCTGAACATGTTTGCCTTTGTGAGGGGATTGATGTGTAGAATTTTGCATCATCGTTTATAATATTACCTGATATTCAGTGCTTATCTTCAATGATGTGTAATCTTATCAAACAAACCAAGCCTGCGTCTAAACTATTTGGATGTTACTGACATTTTAAAAAGTTCTAAAATTTGGTATGTTTGATACCGTCTTACTTGTCTTGGACAAATGTCATTTACATGCTGCCTTTTTACTTTGCTTTATTTCAGGAGCAGTGGAGGTGTCACGCCAGAGCCCGATTGCATGTTGGTTTAGTGCTATGCTTTACTGCTTTGGTGGGTCTGTTCTGTCTTCCTTGATGCTTGCAGAGCCTCCTGTAGGGTTCCTTGCAAACACCACTAATATCTTCCTGGCATCTTCAGTCTGGTAAGCATGCACAAGAGTATAAAATAAGTACCTTTGTTTTTTGTATTAGTAAACTCGTACTGTGTGCACACTTATATAAAGTGCTTATGCAGCTGCTACAGCTCCACCGATAGTAAGCGACAATGGGGTAACTAGCAAAAAACCTCCCTAGATACAAAACCCCTAGTGTGGATTCAGTCAGAGAGGCTTCAGAGTTAATGCTGATTGGAATTAATGGAAGCAGCTTGACTCTCTTGAAGGAGCAAGATTATCTTTCATTCTCTGTGTAGCGTGATTTAGGGTGTACTGATAATATTAATTTGGATAATATGGAAATTTAATTAATTAATTTTATTTTATTTTGTTTTAATAATATTAATAATTATCAATATGAATTAATATGGGTTTTAGGCTCGCCAATTTGTTTGATCAGAAGATAAAAGTTTTTGTCCTGAATCACACTTCACAGAATTTACGAAGGACCCTCAGGGGACAGATATAGCCTTAAAGACTTTTTTTAATTAAAATTAATAGTAAGTAAATGGTAAAATAACCAGAGTTACAAAGTTACAATTGCATTACTGCTATTCAAAAGATACATATGATAATATAGTATTATTTGCAACAAAGCTTTGGTTAATATACTCACACCCTTTCCTGTGGCAAGAGACACAGGAACAGCCTTGTGGTTCAGAGCTGACTAGGGTTTACTTGACTAAGTTAAACTTAAATCAAAACCCAATAAACTAAGAATAAAACTTGGGGAAACCGAGCTTAGCCTAGTTCCTTTGAAACTTAGTTTAAGAAGAACAAGTATAGCCTACTAATAGTAGCAGTCATCGTAGATAGATAGAATAGATAGAGTGGAGGAAGTAAGTGAGAAATGGAGTAAAGTGAGAATCGAGTGCTCTGGGAGTTGGTAGTTAAGACTGCTTGGGAAGCAAGTCCAAGGGGAAAAACAGTTGAAGAGAGTTGGCCATTTTTCAGAGAGACATTAACGGCACAAGAGCAAACTATCCCATTGCGTAGGAAAGATAGGAAGTATGGCAAGAGACCACCCTGGCTTAACCAGGAGATCTTCAATGATCTGAAACTCAAAAAAAGAGTACAACAAAAAGTGGAAACAAGGTCAAATTACAAAGTATGAATATAAACAAATAACACAAGTATGTAGGGACAAAATTAGAAAGCCCAAGGCACAAAACGAGATTAAACTAGCTAGAGACATAAAGGATCACAAGAAAATATTGTACAAATACATTTAAAAGCAAGAGGAAGACCAAGGACAGGGCAGGCCCATTACTCAATGAGAAGGGAAACAATAACAGAAAATGTGGAAATGGCAGACGTGCTGAATGACTTTTTTGTTTGCTTTCATCAAAAAGATTGGTTAGCGATTGGACGTCTAACATAATGAATGCCAGTGAAAATGAGGAAGGATCAGAGGCTAAAATAGGGAAAGAACAAGTTAAAAATTACTTAGATAAATTAGATGTATTCAAGTCACCAGAACCTGATGAAATACATCCTAGAATACTCAAGGAGCTGACGGAAGAGATATTTGAGCCATTAGCGATCATCTTCGAAAAGTTGTGGAAGACAGGAGAGATTCCAGAGGGCTGGAAAAGGGCAAATACAGGAAATAAGGACAACCCGTGGAATTACAGTTAGTCAGCTTAACTTCAGGACCCAGAAAGATAATGGCGCAAATAATTAAGCAGTCACTTTACAGACAGTGAGAAGATAATAAAGTGATAAGTAACCGTCAGCATGGATTTGTCAAGAACAAATCATGTCAAACCAACCTAATAGCTTTCTTTTTACAGGGTAACAAGCTTTGTGGATGAGGGGAAGTGGTATATGTGATATATCTTGACTTTAGTAAAGCTTTTGATACTCTCTCACATGATCTTCTCATAAACAAACGAGGAAAATACAACCTAGATGAAATTACTATAAGGGGCATGCATAACTATTTGGAAAACCATTCCCAGAGAGTAGCGAGCAGTGGTTCATAGTCAAGCTGGAAGGGCATATCAAAAGCAGTCCCACAGGGACCAGTTCTGGGTCCGGTTCTGTTCAATATCTTCTTCAATGATGTTGATAATGACATAGAGAGAACACTTATAAAGTTTTGCGGACGATACCAAGCTGGGACGGGTTGCAAGTGCTTTGGAGGATAGGATTATAATTCAAAATTATCTGGATTAAACTGGAGAAGTGGTCTGAAGGAAATAGGATGAAATTCAATAAGGACAGATGCAAAGTACTCCACTTAGGAAGGAACAATCCATTGCACACATACAAAATGGGAAATGACTGCCTTGGAGGGAGTACTGTGGAAAGGTCATAGTGGACCACAAGCTAAATATGAGTTAACAGTGTAACACTGTTGCAAAAAAAAAGCGAACATCATTCTGGGATGTATTAGCAGGAGTGTTGTAAGCAAGAAACAAGAAGTAATTCTTCAGCTCTACTCCGTGCTGATTAGGCCTCAGCTGGAGTATTGTGTCTAGTTCTGGGCGCCGCATTTCAGGAAAGATGTGGACAAACTGGAGAGAGTCCAGAGAAGAGCAACAAAAATGATTAAAGGTCTAGAAAACATGATCTATGAGGGAAGATTGAAAAAACTGGGTTTGTTTAGTCTGGAGAAGAGAAGACTGAGAGGTGACATAAGTTTTCAAGTTCATAAAAGGTTGTTACAAGGAGGAGGGACATAAATTGTTCTCCTTTAATCTCTGAGGATAGGACAAGAAGCAATGGGCTTAAATTGAAGCAAGGGTCAGGGTAGTTAAGCACTGAAATAGATTGCCCAGGGAGGTTGTGGAATTTCCCTCCTTGGAGATTTTTAAGAGCAGGTTAGACAAACACCTGTCAGGGATGGTCTAGATAATACTTAGTCCTGCCATGGGTGCAGGGAACTGGATTAGACCTCTTGAGGTCCCTTCCAGTCCTACGATTCTATTTTATACTCTTGTTTTGTTAAATGAGATGAGAGTTTGTTCATTGACATACTCAAGTGGAAGAGGTGAAAGCTACTTTCTGAATGGAGTCTTGTAATAGTTGTTGGTTTAATTTGCTTTAAAATATATTTTCTGAACAAAACTTCAAACTCACAAATCCCTATTTAGAATTTACTTTTAGAAACTGGTTACAAGAAAGTTAATTATTGATTTCTTTAAGGACACGGTCTCCTTGAAATCTAGTCAATTATAAATGACTAAATAGTATCAGGTACTATGTGTCCCCTCAGTCCTCCTACTGGCTTTATAATTGCAGCCTGTTATAAAAGCACATTTTTATTTTAAAACATTTGTACTCTTGCTGAATGAGATGCGCAAAGGACAGAGTCCTGTTTGGGTGCATCCAGGGAAAACAGTAAAATGATATGCAAACTGGGGGAAAAAGAGAAATATATATTCTGTAATCTTGAGTGTTGCATGTAACTGGAATAGGTATACTGTTTTCACAAGTGACTTTTTTAATGTTAGGTTTCAGAGTAGCAGCCGTGTTAGTCTGTATCTGCAAAAAGAACAGGAGTACTTGTGGCACCTTAGAGACTAACAAATTTCTTTGAGCATAAGCTTTCGTGGGCTACAGCCCACTTCATCAGATGCATAGAATGGAACATATAGTAAGAAATATATATACATACAGAGAACATGAAAAGGTGGAAGTAGCTATACCAAATGTAAGAGGCTAATTAATTAAGATGAGGCATTATCAGCAGGAGGAAAAAAAACTTTTGTAGTGATAATCAAGATGGCCCATTTTAGGCAGTTGACAAGAAGGGGTGAGGATACTTAACATGGGCAAATAGATTCAATATGTGTAATGACCCAGCCACTCTGTCTCTATTCAAACCCAAGTTAATGGTACCTAGTTTGCATATTAATTTAAACTCAGCTGTTTCTCGTTGGAGTCTATTTTGACAATCCACCAAAAGATGTGAAAGAGCAAAGATGACAGTATATAAACCAAATCTATTGTTAAATCAGACTTAAGTGAAAATGGTGTGTATTGCTCATGACCCAGTACAAACATTATGAAACCTTTAGAACTATTTAGTTATGTAAAAAACCTGTCATTCTTGCTCGCTACTAGAACTTTACATTGACTTATTATATGACTGCTATTTGGTCTTAAAGTAAAATAAAGCAGGATTCATACCCTAATATATAAACTAGTAATGTGACACTTAGATGCTGAATTACCAGATAGAGAAAACAATAACATTTTAAAACATTATGTGGAATAGCAACATCTACTGGTAGCTGTTGGTAGTTGCATAAAATAATAGTGTTTGGAGGATAGTAGAAAATAACAAAAAATAGAGAACTGTGGATGATTCTGCCATTGTTCAACAGAATGCTGTGGATGGTCTAGTTTTTCAGTAAACTATTTTATTCTGTTTTTTGATATTGAAAAAACAAATACTATGCTTCATAATTACAGCACCAACACAAAACACCTAAAACTGGTAAAATCCATTTGAATTTCCCCACAATTTATGGGCTTTTTAAAAACTTCCATTAATAAGTTAATTATTAAGTAGGGTGAGTAGTACAAAAATATTAAGGCAAATTAATCCCTTGGAGTAGGGAGGTGAGACACTCATATTCTGCAACACCTGCTTACACAAGAATTAATTTTGTCCAGTGTAGATATTGTCACTCTGCAGTAGCATTTGTATGAAGGAACCACTAGCATGGGAGAATGCTGTGAAAGTAAATGTTAGCAATTCAATAGTCAGCCACAAATACTTTGCATATGTAGTTGTTTGTAATTATTACACCAATCACATACGAATTGCATAGTGAAACAAAATATTAAAATGTTCCCTTGAGCTGGATGGAGGCAACCATGAATTTTATAAAATGGATTAAAAATATCTATAACACTTGCAATAGGTAGTGCTTGACTTATTAATGAACAAATTCTTAAATATACACACATACATGTGGATCAAGTGTCACTGAATTATTAATTTGATTTTAAAAAGATAACCATTTTCAGAAACTGAAGACTAATCTGAGCAGAACTCCTTGTTTTTCAGTTGTTCACTAACAATTTAACATTCTTAACTTCAGTATTTCAGTTCAGTTGTGATTTTTATTTTGCATGACTGACCATATTGGCATGCAGAGTTGCAGCCTCTTGCAGAACGCTTCAGGGTAAAAAAGCCTTAGCGCTGGATCGAACTCTTAGCTCAGTGGTTTGAGCATTGGCCTGCTAAACCCAGGATTGTGAGCTCAATCCTTGAGGGGGCCATGTAGGGATACAGGGCAAAAATCTGTCTGGGAATTGGTCCTGCTTTGAGCAGGGGGTTGGACTAGATGATCTCCTGAGGTCCCTTCTAACACTGATATTCTATGATTCTTACCCCCAGTATGTAACTGCAATTTACCAATCGCCAGAGTTTGTGTTCACTATCCAGAGGTTTAATTGGCTATAATAAATAGCAGTTGCACAATACAATCTGCATCCACACTATCATGCACTGATGCATGGTCACTCTTTTTCTCATATACCATGGAACAATTAAGTACAATAATTGCTTTCATATATATGGGGGGGAGGGGAGAGAACAGATCACTAGTCAGTGCAAAAGAAAAAAGTGGATGCAGATGTGCTCTTATTTGAACAGTAATCATGCAGTAATGCAACTTGTGACATCTGTTGCACATAAGAAATGGGTTATTGTGCAGATGAAGTCATACAAATTATTTTACTCAGTCCTTTCACTTCTCATTTTTAAAGGTTTAGATTATGCTAAGGTATCCTCAAGCCTATGTTGCTATTCAAATATATTCAATGATTGCATACAGTCAGTCATAATTATTGAATCCAGAACTTCAATTCTCTTGTTTGGGAGAGGGCATCTACCCTTGCACTGGAGGAAGGCATTGAAAACTATGGGGGGCAGATCCAAATTTTTGAATATGTGCCTCAACAGTTTCAACTTCCCCATCACTGGTTCCTCTCTTTCTCCCCCCTTGGGATTTCAAGGACATGGGTTTAATTCCTGCAAAGACCTAGATCTCCTCTGCCAGCAAGTCCTGAGCACAGCTTTCATGTGGCGTTTTGTCTTCAGAATAGTCACAGTCAATGGTACTAGAGAGTCTCAAGAAATAGGTCTCAAGAAATAGGAAGATGTGCTAGATCTCAGGCTTTGCAAGGAGGGTGCTTTCTCCTTTCAAGGCCTAGCCAAGAGACTCGCTCCCCAGAAGAACTGAGTAGGGACAAAATAGAGCTCCATACACCAACTGCTTCTTGTCCTATTGTGCTGGAGCAGCTGTACTGATTTCCAAGGGGCTAGGGTTGGGCTAAGGGGCTGCAGTTCACATCCAGTATGTGATTTCCCATCTTGGACAGCAATGAAACTGTAAAGACTGATTTAAGTATACGGTCCCCAACAATAGTGCACTCAGTTTAAGGCACTGGACCTATGACTGTGAATCAAACCCAGTTAAATAAAAAAATTGGTAGTATAATCTAAAAATGAAAAGGCTATGAAAGTAAAATATGTAAGGTTTTTGTTACAATTTTGGTATTGTTATAAAAAGTAAATTGTTTGAACATATGAGTGTCCTTTAATTGTTAAAACATGAGACTACAAAGGACCATCCTGATGTCCAGCCCACTTGCGGTGGAAATGGCAAGTGGGGTAAAAGAGCCCATTTTGGATAAATTGGAGCTCGTGGCTGTAGAATCCTTAAATTCGGAACACTGCATACCAGTGTTCTTCTTTAAAGAAAACTACAACAGTTTGCTTAGCCCCATATTCTGAAAGTTCAAAAAGCTGAAAGCCCTGCTCACTGTAAGAAGTGAAATGTATTTGAAAATAGCTTTAAATCACAACTGGCATTGACTTTAACAAGGGATGGCAGTCTTGCTAAAGTTATATAATTTTGTGTCACTGGCAGTATGAGAGCCCTGTGTCAGAATATAAATGAATTCCCATTCTGCTCCAATACTATTTTAACAATCCAAAGAAGCTCAAATGTTTACACAAAGTTTACTTTTTTAAACAATAAACCAACATTCAAGCTGGATAGCAACTTGAGAGAGGAATCTTGGTGATCTATAAGCTTAAAGAAATGTTCCATTTCAAGGATGAGTTCAATTTATTCTATTGTACTTTAAGGAAGCCTTGATAAACAATTTATGATGTGTTTTGGGAATATATTTTGTGTAATGACCTTATATTTTAGGTGCTCAAATATCAGGTGATGGGTGCAGTATAAATACCCCAAAAGAGATTTAATTAGGTAAATTCTAAAAAGCGACTATTCTAATTTTCAATTTGGAGCTAAAGCACTAAAGGATATATGGCGTATAGGGATAATATTAAAGAAATCTTAGTGATACTCCAAAATTTATTTTTAAAAGATGCTTTAGGAGAGGAACTTTGTTGCCAAGAGATTTTAAGTAGAAATTTTCTTCTAAATTTCAGGTATCTTGTATTTTTTTGTCCACATGACATAGTCTACCGATGCTTTTCCTTTCTGCCTCTTCGACTGATGATTGCAGGAATGAAAGAAGTGACTAGGACTTGGAAAATAACAGCTGGAGTTGCACATGCAAACAGCCACTACAAAAATGCCTGGCTTATCATGGTAGCTGTTGGCTGGGCCAGAGGTAATGTGTAAAATCTCTTGTTCTGTTGAATTGTGAAGTTTAAAGTGGTATTTAAATTGTGAACCATGTGGTCTTAGCAATAACACCATGATCTACCATGTGGGAATGGTACCCTTAAATTCAAACCGTTGTCCCTCACGGAGGGAAAGCCTGTGTGTCTGTGCAGCAATTTCTCTGGTCAGACGAGGGATGGCATTGACTGGCTTTGGAGGGAACCATGCCTAGCCCTTAAGAGGAAAGATGCCTGTCCCCATTTAAGGATCTTTAGGATTTGGTGGTTGATGGCAAAAGGAATCAACAAGGCTATATATAACTTTATAATTATAATGATCAACTTTTCAATGGAACTGTTCTTACAGAAGTTGCACTTCTATATAGCAGGACTGTTACTTTTCTAATTTTTTTGTATGTCCCAATACTTTAATCAGATTGAACACACTAGAGGCATTTTATCTCATCTAATCAAGTTGTCTCCTAAATTAAATAACTACCACATAGTATATCTAGAAATGTATTGTACACTTCAGAGCAGCAGTGTTTGCTTTACTCTTGTACTTTATATCCCACTACAGTAGAGAGACCACTGGCTCAACTCTGGCTTTATTCTTTGAGCTCTGCATTGTAGTTTATTTCCACTCTGCTTGGGAGCCCACAGACACGTTAACAAAAGTAATTCTAACTTGTGTTGGATTTGTTAGTGTTCACTGAACAGATAGGTGCCACATTCTTCTTATGCCTTATTTCCTCTACGTGCACGTACACACATACTTCTCGTAATCTTTGATTATTTTCCCTAAAAGGAAATCTTCTAGATTTTGTATTGGGATGTGTGCACGCATGCTTGCTCTCTCCCCCATATTTGTATGCCTATATATAAATTGCCATCTATGATCCTGGAAGAAAATGGATTTTCATAAGAATGGCCATAATGGGTCAGACCAGTGGTCCTTCTAGCCCAGTGTCCTGTCTTCTGACAGTGGCCAATGCCAGATGCTTCAGAGGCAATAAACAGGGCAATTTAGTGACTGCTCCATCCCCTATTATCCACTCCCACCATTTGGCAGCTAGAGGCTTTAAAACACTCAGAGCATGGGGTTTCATCCCTGACCATTTTGGCTAATAGCCATAGATGGACCTATCCTCAATGAACTTACCTAATTTTTTTTTTTTTACCCAGTTACAGTTTTGGCCTTCACAATATCCCCTGGCAACAAGTTCCAAAGCTTGACTGTGCGTTGTGTGAAGTAGAACTTCCTTTTGTTTGTTTTTAAACCTGCTGCCTATTAATTTCATTGGGTGAGCCCTGGTTCTTGTGTTATGTGAAGGGGTAAATAACACTTTTTCTCTACACTGGTCATGATTTTATAGACCTCTATCATATCCCCCCCCCTTAGTCATCTCTTTTCCATGCTGAAAAGTCTTATTAATCTCTCCTCATATGGAAGTTGTTCCATACCCTTAATTTTTGTTGCCCTTCTCTGTACCTATTCCAATTCTGATATATCTTTTTTTGAGGTGGGGTGACCAGAACTGCACACAGTATTCAAGGTTTAGCATACCATGGATTTATATAGTGTCATTATGATATTTTCTGTCTTCTTATCTATCCCTTTCTTAATGGTTCCTAACATTCCATGAGCTTTTTTTGAGTGCCGCTGCACATTGAGCAGATGTTTTCAAAGAACTATCTACAAAGTCTCCAGGATCTCTTCCTTAGTGCTAACAACTAATTTAGACCCTATCATTTTGTATGTATAGTTGGGATTATGTTTTCCAACACGCATTACTTTGCATTTATCAACATTGAATTTCATCTGCCATTTTGTTGCCCAGTCATCCAGTTTTGTGAGAACCTTTTGTAACTATTTGCAGTCTGATTTGGACTTGCTAACTACCTTGAGTAACTTTGTATCTGCAAATTTTGCCACCTCCCTGTTTACGCCTTTTTTCCAGATAATTTGTGAATACATTGAATAGCACTGGGCCCAGTGGGGGATCCCTTGGGGGATCCCACTATTTACCTCTCTCCATTCTGAAAACTAGCCATTTATTCCTTTCTTTTGTTTCCTGTCTTTTAACCAGTTACTGATCCATGACAGAACCGTCCCTCTTATCCCATGACTGCTTACTTTGCTTAAGAGTCTTTGGTGAGGGGCCTTGTCAAAGACTTTCTGAAAGTCCAATGACCCCTTCAAAAATTCTAATAGAGTAGTGAGGCATGATTTCCCTTTACAAAAGCCATGTTGACTCTTCCCTAACAAATTGTGTTCATCTATGTGTCTGGTAATTCTGTTCTTTAATATAGTTTCAACCAGTTTGCCTGGTACTGAAGTTAGGCTTACTGGCTTGTAATTGCCAGGATTACTTCTGGAGCCTTTTTTAAAAATTGGCATCACATTAGCTGTCCTCCAGCCATCTGGTACAGAAGCTGTTTTAAGTGATAGATTATGTACCACAGTTAGTAGCTCTGCTATTTCACATTTGAGTTCCTTCAGAACTATTGAGTAAATACCATCTGGTCCTGGTGACTTATTAGTGTTTAATTTTTCAGTTTGGTCCAAAACCACCTCTATCGATACCTCAATCTGGGACAGTTCCTCAGATCGGTCACCTACAAAGAAGAGCTCGAGTGTGGGAATCTCCCACACATCCTCTGCAGTGAAGACCGATGCAAAGAATTCATGTAGCTTCTCTGTAATGGTCTTGTCTTCCTTTAGCTCCTCGATGGTCCAATGGCTTCACTGATTGATTGTTTGGCAGACTTCTTGCTTCTGATGTTCTTACAAAAACTAACAGCAAAAAATATTTTATCTTTTGCTTGTAGCTCTTCAAAATCTTTTTTGGCCTGCCTGATTATACTTCCACACTTGATTTGCCAGACTTTAAGCTCATTTCTATTTTCCTCAGTAGGATTTGACTTCCAATTTTTAAAGGATGTCTTTTTGCCTCTAATCTCTTTTACTCTGTTTAGCCATAATGAAACTTTTTTGGTCACCTTACTATATTTTTTAATTAGGGGTTTCCTTGCAGCTTGCAGGCATTTTGCTCTTGCGAATGTACCTTTTAATTTCTGTGTAACTAGCTTCCTCATTTTTGTGTAGTTTCTCTTTCCCTTGAAGTTAAATACTACTGTAGTGGGCTTGTCTACACTCAGGGTGGATTTGATTTAAATCACTAGTCAGGAAGACTTGATTTAATCATGGAATTCTACATAAAAGTACATTCTTGTTGGTTGTTATAACCTTAATACATATTCTTCACAACTCGGAGATGTAGGTTTCATTTTTAGAAGGTACACACTATACATTTTTAAAGTGATTTATTTTGAAAACTTTTCAGATTAGTTTTACAGCTATATTAGAAAATGAATGATTGTTTGGTTATTTCCTTTACCAAAGGTAATTGAAGCAGATATTTGAGAGGTCATTGGGAGGTGAACTATCTCCAATTCAACAGGCTGATCATTAATATTTAGAGGATTTTCTTGCTATGCTGTATTAGGAGGAGAACATCACCAGACAGACATTTAAATTGTTTTATTTAACTAAATAACATAACATTATTATGTATTCTTGATATTTAAAAAAACAAAAATTAAATAGACTGTCAGCTAGGTCAACATGAGAAACTTAAAATATTGGCTTCTGCAGCTAACTCAGTCGTCTTCACCTTCATTTTCCTGTTTGTTCATAATCTGGAAAAGAAAAACAGGCTTTCCTGCCTTTTCAGGTCCCAAACGATTTCTCAATTTGGAATGAATTAGTCCAAAGGAAAATATTCTTTCTACACCGGCAGAAGTAGCTACTGCTGTTAAATGTGAGATTATCACTTTATCAGTCTCTGAATCCAATTGCTTAAGTGACTTCCCCCAGTGAACTGGTGGGACTTTCTTTAAAATATCACCAAACATATATTTCTTGAATGGTTCACCCTTAGCTCTCAAGTTAATTATGGTTGGCATTATGGAGGGATGATTGCTGGATGTCCATGTCATAGCCGCCAACTCTTCTTCAGCAGTTAAGGTTTGACCCTGGTCCCGAGCACTGAGAATATTTGCAAGAAAATGAGCTGGAGATAGTGCTTGTCCCATTCATTTTTTTTTAATGCTGTAATTTAACTCTGTCATTGCATATTTCTCTTTTTAAGATCTCACTCAGTTCCTTCCAAATTTCAACAGCGTCAGCAATAAAACAGCTATTTCCCTGCATTTTGTTCAAGGCTACAGAAATAGGCTTCAGGGTACTCAGCATGTGTTCAACATTTCTCTGAAGCCCAATGTTGAGAACTTTGGCTGTGACAGAGCCATCTACTTTTTCACCATTTTGTTCACAAACTGTCATCAGATTAGGCCAGTTCTTGATATGGTGCTCAAAATAGTCCACTACTGAGTTCCATGGCACGTCTTATGGGAGAGTTAGCTTGGTTCCTCCCACTTTTTTCAGAGCAGCTGCTGCACAGTAGTTGTTACGGAAGTATTTTGCAATTTCAA